TAGGGAAAACTCAAACGTGAGTATACATGATGGCTAAAGAAGAGCACTAATGCTAGTGTATGGAAGGCTGAAGTCAATGCAAATCTTTCAGTGCTGAAGTAGTACCATTGGTAGTCTTAAAATAATATTTAAATAATACATAAATAAAGAATTACTGAAATAACCTCTTTTTTTTTTTTTTTTCCCACCACTATTTCCATCAATTAAAGAAAACAATGCCTGGACTAAATTTTACATTTAACAAAACATTTGCAACACATGCTAAGGAAAAATCTTTTTTAGAGGTGTTGTCAGACCTTTTATGAAATTCTGGAAACTCGAAGAAAAGTGATTTTGACATTTGAAAGGCAACCAGCCTCCTGTATGGAAGGTCTTAGACAAAATGTTCAGAGCTCATCTTCTGCTTTCACCATTTCTTCTTTCTCTTTACCTCAAGACTACCAAGTCATAAATGGAGGACCATATGGGTGGAACGTATTTCCATCCCAGGTAACTGTGTTTGTTGATGCATATCAAAACCACCATGGGAATAGTGCAAAATTCCTGAAGCACACATGGTGTCCCTACAGAGATTCCACCTTTCAGTATCTATTTGGGACTTCAACCACAAAGTGGTGCTATTGCAAAAGCTAACGGTTAATGGGGAAAACCAGCTCCCTGATTTTATAACGACCCAAGGAGTGCATTAAACCCAATAAAATGTTCCTCCATTTACATACTCACATGCATATCTTCTCTATAAATATTCTTTTTTTTTTAACATCAAACACAGTTCCAGTGGTATCTGTTAATATGTTGAGAAAAAGACACATCTTCAAAGTATATAAAATGCTACGTACTTTAAAGTCTGATCAAGTGCCTAATTAATCAGATCAACGTCTAGCAATTACTCCAATTTAAACCCACAGAATTTAAAGATGACTTTCTACAGCTTTGAGCAATATTTAAAATTCTTCAAGACAGAACAGATACTTGTTCAAAGTACCAAATATTTTTTGCCATGTCAGAACCTCAGACCCAATGACAACACATAAAATAAAGTGGCCAGTTGGGAGCTTTATTATATCACATCAAAAAGTCATAAACAAGTTTAAAGTGTAAAAACATCCACTTGTGCTAAGGACTAGCATTAAAAAAAAAATCCAAACACCCAAACACAACCACCCCCAGAATAATAGATGAAGATGTAAAAATGTCTGGAAATAAAAAAAAAAAAAACAGTTTCAGAACAATAGAAACGGCTTTAGAGGAAAAGTTGGAAAATTGCAAGGATCAAACATGTCTCCATTTTCTATAGCTGTGAAAACACCCTGTCTACAATACTTTTTACAATGCACACATATTTGGCAAGATTAAGGTGTCCCATCTCAAATTACAAGGCGTCTGATTGCCCACAGACCCAGACACGAGCACAGGGCAAACCCCTCAACTTGTGCAAAGTGCCTGGCTCTGGTAGGTTCGCCTTCCATCAGAGGTAGGCAGCCCCTCTGCCCAGGACATTTACTTGTAGCTTACTTATTTTCCTTCTTTTTTTGCTGGCCTAGCTGCAAATGCGAAGTTCCCGGGCTAGAGCTGCCTTCAGATGCTTAACCCTTTGCCTGCCTCCGGAGGAGCCTTTACCAGCCACAGGAAAATCTATTCCTAGCACTGTTTGCTTACTTCAGGAGTTTAAAAGCTGAGTAACATTTTAAACATTTTTCAAATCCGACTTGATTCTGGGGGACAGGGCAGGATTTAATTCTGATTTCCTACTCTTAGCTGAAGAAAACATTCAGCCAAATGGCAACGACAAAGAGGCTCTAGAGTTATTCAAGGTTTGAGTGTTTTTTTTGACTGGCAGGCAAGTTTTAGTAAAGTATTCTCAGGAGTTGATGGTGGAAGAAGATTCCTTCTCCATGTGGGCAGTTAAAGGGAATAAGTGACTTAGGCAGAATTTGTGAGACAGATACAATTTGTAGAGTTCAGTATTCCTTAAATAGGATTATTTTATAGTTGAAAAATAATCAGGTAAAGGACAACCACAACAAGCAACATTAACTGTATTTCAATCCACAGTGGAAAATATTCCAATAAAACTGTGACAACTATCTAGGTAGATGAAAATGTCTTAAAGAAGATGGCACTATGCTTTGACAGCACGAGAGGGCTACTCATACTTGCACGGGGAAGAGAAAGAGGAAACATTCCTTGGTTAAATAACAAAAGAAAATTTATGACCAAGTAAAGGAAGTATTCCTTAAGGAAACAATCTCGGGACTCTTAAGATTTGAAGTGTTGTATCGTATCTTACATGACCAAGTTCTTAGAGTTATGACTTGCTTAATTATGCTTGAATCAAATAGAAAAGAAAGATGACTTAAGCCTGTAAATTTAGAGGGAGACTTAGAGGCATGCAGCTAAATTTATCAGCCATCTCTGTGAGCGATCACTCTAAATAAAAAGTTTGGAAACCAGTCGCTGCTGGTTGCTGATGAACTTTCCATGTTTTTGGCAATCACCATCCTTTACTTAATGGACTAATCTGCAAATCAAAACAGGAGGAATATCTGGACAGAAATCCATTCTAAGGTCTGTTTTTAATGGTGGCTATTTCTCGCGACACTTATTTCTGTGTCATGGGGGGCGACTGGGTTGACAGATATGTTAACTGAAGAAATGAATTTGTCTAAAATTTGGAAGTAATATATTTTTAAAAAATAAAAAAGAGAGAGCGAGCGAGCAGAGGTTTATGGCATTTTAGTTCTCTGTCTCAATTTCACCTGTTTTACATGTCCTGTAATGACTTCTGAATATGGGTAAGAATAGCAACACATGCTGGCAGTTTGACTAAAGGGGGTGTGTGTGCATGTGTGTGAGTGTGCATGTGGGAGACAGAGTGTGGGGGAAAGAGGGGGGAGCTGGGCGGGGTTTTTTTTAACACAGAGACATTCCTGCAATAAAATACTTGTCTTCTGAGAATCACAGTCCGGAAGAGATGGTTATGATTTAACAAAAGAATTCTCCAAAATGTTCCCTGGTGCTAATACTGTTCTTAATAATACGAAAAGATTTTGCCAGGAAGAAGAATAAAACCATCAATTGAATTAAAAAAAAAAAGAAAAAAAAAGGCAGATGATAGGGCTTTTTATAGCACACAGGGGAAAAAGTGACCTTTATGATGGTTTTGTCATTTCCAAAAAAATGCTTCATTCTCTGAAATTCCCCAACCAGGCAAGGTTATTATAAATGGTAGGTAGGAAAAGCAGAGCGTGGCAATAAAGGGGTTAATCTGCAGAGCACAGAGCCATCTGGCTGAGCTGGTTTGTTATAATCGAGCAGATTATGTTCACGGGACTCAGAGTTTAAGGCTCCTCTCCCATAGAGCAACTCTGCACAACCCAAGCAGACCAACTTTGGGACTTTGAATGAACATATTTACATCCACCTTTCTCTTCATGTCGACTTTTCTGGAAACATTCACACGGATGCCATGGTTACTCCTACCACGGTAAGGGAAATTTGACGTTTTCTAATAGGGTCCTAAGAGGGCGGGGAGGGGAGGGGGGGGAGAGGGGTCCTTTAAAGAAGTATAATGGGGAGGGGGGGGTCTTGTAAGCAGTAGATCTCTCCCAAATGTTGCCTTTCCTATTGTGCCTCCTCCTTCCCCCACCCCTACTTGCCCTATAGCTTGCTTTAGTCCTGAGGTTTCTCTCTCCTCCTGCTCAGCATGCTGTTGTTCAGGCTCCTGGCAAGAAAACACCAAAGGAGAAATATGAGGTGCTAAAGGAATCTGATTTAAGCGGCAAAAGCAAAGGAGACTCTTGGTTTTAAGAGAGAAACCAGCAACTTCACATATAACAAAAGGGGTTGCAAATCTTGAGCGTGGATTGCAAGCACCAGCATACGTAGCATGCTTGCCCTCAGGGAAAGTTAGAGCCCATGACAAGCGAAGTCAAAATTCCTAATTTCTAGACCTCGCCTGTCTCAGGTAACTAATTTCACTGGAGCTTTCTTTTGTTTTTGGTGCCAGACACTGGAAACTCTATTCGTGACCTTTGCATCCATCCCTATTCCCCTCAAACCCAAACATTAAATTCTCCGTAAGGAACTGGAGATCAAAGGATTCCCTGCACATCTGTGTCTAGGTGAAAAAGATACACTCACTCAGTGCTAGGATGGCAGGAAAACTATTCTTACGCTGCAGTTTCCAGCGTTTGGTAAGTGCCTTCTAGGAATGCAGCACATAACTAATCAACACAGACGCACATAGAGAGCAAAATAGAAAGCTGTTTCTCATCTAAACAGCTGAAATGCAGCTTAAAGCGTCAGTTACTGGCGAGTCCTTATGGAGACACTGAAGTGCTATTAGCCAAGAGGGGAAAAAGTCCTTGAATGGTTTAGATACTTTTCTGATCAGTTCTTAATCCTTCATTAAAATAAACGGGAAAGCTCTGGTTTGGTCCTATCTCTTGAACTATAAATATGCAGGATCCGGAGAGATGGATATTTTGGACTGAATAGGGTTGCTATGTGCACATTCTCTGGTGCCTATATTGCAAAACCAGTTATTTAGAGATGACTCTGTGTGTGTGAGGGGGGTTGCTTCCCCTCCTCCTTTTTAAATAGACAGAGATGTGTGCTATATGGTCCAGTCGATTGTTAGGAGCTACAGCCTTTCAGAAAGCACTCCTTGCTCTTAGGCTTATGTGACTTCTTGCATGAGAAGTGCAAATGGTATGTAAAGTTTGCCTTCACATTGTGCCTTCAGGAAAATACCCTAGACAAATAGGAGAGACATTCTCAAGCACAGAAATACTTGATCTCTGGAAGCCTGTAAGTGGACAAGTGGTGCAAAGAAACACCTATAAATAAGATGCAAGAAGAAGAGGGAAAAAAAACCCCAAAACAACAAAACAAACCACTTCATTTTGTGACAAGTAGACAAAAGCAGTAAAGAATGGAAGAGAGTTCCACATGGTTTCAAGCTGCTAGCAGAAAAAAGGCTGGTCTTAGACACACATCAGTAGCAGGAGCTCTGTGTGTGAGCATGGCTAGAAGATGAAAACTAGACATGATTGCAGGTGGTGGACCCAATATGGGGAGAAAAGGATGTATCAACAGAGCCAGGAGGGGAGTGTATTGCATAAGAGAGTGTTCTGTGTTGAGGTATACCATACGTGTAGGTTTAGGATTATTTTTTTTTCCCAGGGAAAGAATACCTAAATGATACATAGATATAAGGAGTTTGGAGCATGTTATCTACTCAAAATAAACTGCTATGGATTAAGCGTTGCTCACTGAGGTAGTAAGGGCAGGCGAGCCATACAAGGGTGGTCAATTTAAAAGGTAGGTGGAAAAGTTTAGGAGCTCAGAAGAGGAAGTAACACTTGAGAGGGATGAGCAAAGGTGCAGACTTGAAGCTGGGTGAGGATATGAAAGGGCCATACAAAGATGCCAGGGTCTGAAAGGAGGAGGTAGGGTATGGAGTGAGAGGGGCGGGAGGAAGGTGAAAGCACAGGGCACAAAGGATGTTTGGGGGAGGAAGAAAAATGTGAACTATTGTCTATTTGGAGAAAGGTATGGAAAATAATCGGCTTCATGATGCTTGGGGAGGTGTGTCTACAGGAGATATCTTTAATTCTGTCAAGAAATAGATACGAGGATGTATTTGTGAGGAAGGTGTTAGAGAGTGAAAGAGAAGGCTTGCATGGTAATGGAAATACACGACAAGAAGAGGAATGCAGAGGAAAAATGAGCTGTATGGAGATAGGTTGTGGGAAAACGGTATAGGGACCTGTAAAGGTATGTGAGGTGGTAGTTTAGAGATATTTCAGAGGAGGTTGGAAGCCTGCTGGAGTGTGCTGCCTTGCTGCAAAGGAGAAGCAGAACTAGGGAAACGCCATGTGAAGGTGCTGCAAGGAAGTGCAAGATACTGAGTATCATAGGGGCAGGGTGAACTGTCACAAGAATATAAAGATGTGGCAGGTCTTGAGAAGCATGAGCATGGGGAAAGAATCAGGAATATAGGAGATTAAATCAGAGGGGTTTTTTTTAAAGATGCCTAGGGAAAGTTGCTTTAGAGGAGGTATAGGGCAAATAAAGCACAAGGTGAGAGGAAATTTGTTTTTGTATTGGTAGGCAAAAAGAGAAAGCAGAGCTAAGGTGCAGGAGTGGCTTGGCTACCAGAAACAGAGAATGGCTCTTTACTGAGTAGTTGGGATAACACAGGGGAAGAACAGGCAATATGTTACAGTGGAAACAGTTGAGGAAAATACTAGAAAGTAAGGAATAATGTGAAGTGTGTGGGAGGAGAACACATACATAAACAAAAAGAAGTGATGTTCTGTTAAGAGAGACATAACAAATGTGCTTCCATCTCTGTGTAGGTACTGGCTAAGTAAAGCAACAAGAGGGAATGGAATGAATGTGATAGCAGAGAAAAGACTAAAGAGATAAAGGGGTGGGAGGAGAAGGAATGGGAGGGATAACTACCTGGAGGACTGTATAAGTCCCATGGCTGTACCAAGGTCAAAAGTAACGTATGAAGTGTATGGGGGGTGTGAATGGAGTTAGAAGCTGAAGGGCATGATGTGGAAGTGAATGGGGATGACAGTTCATGTTACACAGGGTGAGAAGCTCAGCGAAGGCTGACACACAAAGCTGTGTAAGTGAGGAAGGTACCTGCCAGGTTGTGCCTGCTGGTGAGGGCTGTGGAAAGGAAGGTGAAAGGAGGGAAAAGTTGTGTCTGATAAGGAGAGATTTGTGCGCGCAGCATGCTCTGGGTAAATGGAGGAAATACAGGTAAGGATTGCAGACCTGGGTGTGGGGCTGGGAGAAGGAAAACAGTTTATGGGGGAGGGAAGAGCGATGAGGAGTCAGAAGTTTACGCTGGCTCAAGCCATCTGTAGTTCTCTGCCTCTTAGTTTCAGGAAGGCTGTTTAAGTGTGCAAGGGGCATGAATAGCAGCCTGAGAGCAGGTTGGGAGTTAAGTGCAAGGAGAGAGCAGCCGGGAGGCAGAGGTAAATGCATATAGTCAGTGTCGATAGGTGCAGGGATGGAGATGCTGGTTTTGTGTGCACGTCAGGGACAGATGTGTTCAGTGCTGTGTTCATGTGACAGGCAGAGTCATAGAGGGAGGCACGCGATGAGAGTGAGTCAACCAGTCTGCAGGAAGGAGCTGAGATCCTTGAGGGGCACATCAGAGTCCTGGGTGGCTGTAAGGGATGTGTGTTTGTGTGGAAGTCACCCACATGCACCCGGGAAGGCGTGCTGGTGTGTAAGGCGGCTGTCAGAGCCCAGCTAGGGAATCACGTGTCCACTGCGTTTGTGGTACAACTCTCTGTGTCAAAATAAGTTATGTAAGACACACCACAGAGGTGAGTTTCGTGAGTGCTGAGAAGCAATGTTTACACTGAGAAGGAGGGTAGGCAAAGATGACTAACTGAGAAAATGGTTTGGTGCGTGGGTAGCTGTAGGACCCAACGTGCACTGGATGTGCTTGCTTTCTGCATGACGTGGCACAGCAGGCAGACTCTGCTGTAGAGATTTTCAGGCTTTTTCTAAAGAACTGCTGAATAATCCTGAGAAAATCCCAGAATGTCTAGCTAAAATATTTGCGTCAGCTTCATTTGCAGGCATATCAATGCACCTTATTTTCGTGCCTTAGATCTTCAGTATGCTATGCTGGCAGGAAATGGCAGAGACATTTCTCTAGGACCAGTTAATAGGACTGCTAGGTAGTCAACAGGGTTGTTGGATGAACAAGCATTGGGTTGAAATAAATACAGGGAGTACAGATGTCAGTCAAAGGAAACAAGAAAGTACTAGCTTTCTCCATGGCTTGAAGAAGTACTAAAGAAATGTGCAGCTGGTTGAAGATAGAACCTTTAGGATAAAACTTGGGTGTAAGAGAGAAACACTAAGAGCATATTTCCCTTCAAACCCATCGCATATATTGACATCTGTTCTTCAATTCTGTTCTCCAAACATCTTCAAATTGTCCAGTTTGCCTAGGGCTTTGTTGTCCTCTTAAGTACTGTCCTACACTGGGTAGGAAAGTGCTCATTTCCATCCATAGCTGATCAGAAGATTGTGAGTAATCCTGAAAAACTTGCAGTGGGAGAAGAGAGTTTGATCACACCAGACAACTAGTCTTGAAGGCTGAAACCTCTGGGCCCATCCATAGCTGATCAGAAGATTGTGAGCAATCCTGAAAAACAGTCAGTGGGAGAAGAGAGTTCGATCACACCAGACAACTAGGTTTGAAGGCTGAAACCTCTGGGCTCAGACCTTCTGTAGCATCAGTCACATGGAAGTTCATTGATCCCTTTCTGGTTTATTCCAGGGATCAATTCTTGCCCCGCCCTCCCCCCAAAAAAAACAAACCCCAAACCAAACCAACTTAGCTAATGGGCAGTTAGTGCTTGTGCAGCTATGGGCTGTGTTTGGAAACTGTTGTCCTGCTTTATGTGCTGATTTCCCACTGCAGAGTCCAGTTCAGGCTCCTCA